AGAAGATCTATTTTCAGATTTATGAGGAATCTCTATATCGTTTTCCATAATGGTTGGGGTGGTTTACATTTCCACCAACAGTGTATTGGGGAACCTTTCCCCGCATCCTCTCCAGCAGTTGTTAATTTTTGATTTTTGGATAATAATCATTCTCACTAGGGTGAAGCTAAACCTCACTATGGTTTTTATTTGCATTTCTCTGATAGCTGGTGATCCTGAGCATCTTTTCATGTGTCTATTGTCCATTTGTATTTCATACTTTGAAAAATGCCTGTTTATATCCTTAGCCCACTTCTTAACTGTATTGTTTGTTTTGTTATCGTCAAGTTTCTTGAGCTTCTTATATATTCTGGATGTTAACCCTTTATCAGATGTATTATTTGCAAATATTTTCTCACATTCTGTCAGTTGCCTCTTTGTTAACTGTGTTCTTTGCTGTGCAGAAGCTCTTTATCTTGATGCAATCTCATTTGTCTATTTTTGCTTTGATTGCCTGTGCTTCTGGGTTTTTATCAAGAAGTCCTTTCCTAGGCCAGTTTTTTGCAGTGTTTCCCCTATGGTTTTCCTTTAGTAATTTGTTGGTTTCAGGTGTTATGTTTAGATCATTGATCCACTGTGAATTGATTTTTGTATAGGGTGTAAGCTAGGGGTCTTGTTTCATACTTCTGCATGCTGAAACCTGATTTTCCTAGCACCGTTTGTTGTAGAGAATGCCCTTTCTCCAGGAAATGACTTTAACTCATTTGTCAAATATTAGTTGCTTGTAGATGCATGGATTAATTTCCTGGATTTCTAGTCTGTTCCAATGGTCAAAACATCTATACTTTTGCTAGCCCTAAGCTTTTTTGATAACTGCCCTGTGTAATATTTCTTAAAATCTGGGATTGTTATGACTTAAGCTTTATTTTTTTAAAGATGTATTTTATTTATTTGAAAGACAGAGTTACAGAGAGAGGTAGAGACAGAGAGAGAGGTCTTCCATCCACTGGTTCACTGCCCAGATGGCTGCAACGGCTGGAGCTGCTCCGGTCCGAAGCCAGAAGCCAGGAGCTTCCTCCTGGTCTCTCACGTAGGTTCATGGGCTCAAGCACTTGGGGCATCCTCCACTGCTTTCCCAGGCCATAGCAGAAAGCTGGATCAGAATAGGAGCAGCCAGGACTAGAACTGGTGCCCATATAGGATGCCAGCACTTAAGGCCAGGGCTTTAACGTGCTGCGCCACAATGCCGGCTCCTTAAGCTTTATTTTTATTGTTCAGGATTTTTTTAGTTATTTGGATCCTCTTCTGATTCCATATGATTTTAGGGTCATTTTTTAAGATCTGTGAAGGACGTCTTTGATTGGGATCACATTGAATCTGTAAATTGCTTTGAATAGTGTGGACATTTTGATGATAGTCTTCCAGTCAATGGTCATTAAAGATTTTTCCATTTCTTTTTGCCTTCATCTATTTCTTTCCTGCAATTTTCATTGTAGAGATCTTTCACATCTTTGGTTAAATTTATTCCAAACTAATTTTTTGGTAGCTATTATGAATGAGACTGATGTTGCAAGTTCTTTGTAAGCCATGTCATTGCTTTGTATAAAAAGGGTATTGATTTTTGAGTTTTGATCTTATATCCTCCAAATTTTCCAAGTTCTCTTATGAGTTCTAATAATTTCTTAGTGGAATTTTTGTTCCCATACATGTAAGATGATATCATCTGCAACCAGGCATAATTTGACTTCCTCCTTTCTCATATGTATCTCTTTAATTTCTTTTTCTTGTTTAATGGCTCTAAAACTTCCATAACTATATTTTTTTTGACAGGCAGAGTGGACAGTGAGAGAGAGAAAGGGATAAAGGTCTTCCTTTACTGTTGGTTCACCCTCCAATGGCTGCTGCAGCCGCACACTGCGCTGATCCGAAGTCAGGAGCCAGGCGCTTCTCCTGGTCTCCCATTCGGGTGCAGGGCCCAAGGACTTGGGCCATCCTCCACTGCACTCCCGGGCCAGAGCAGAGAGCTGGACAGGAAGAGGGGCAACCAGGACAGAATCTGGCGCCCCGACCAGGACTAGAACCCAGTGTGCTGGCACCGCAGGTGGAGGATTAGCCAAGTGAGCTGCGGCACGGGCCTCCATAACTACATTAAATAGTAATGGTGAGATGGGCATACTTTTCTTTTTCTAGATCTAGCGGAAATGCTTCCAGCTTTTCCCCATTCAAAATGATGTTGGCTGCATTTGTCATATATTGTGTTGAAGTATGATCTTTCTATACCCAATTTGCTAAAGTATTTCTATCATGAAAGGATGTTGTATTTTATCAAATACTTTCTCTGTATATTGAGATTAATCATATGATTTTTATTCTTCAATTTGTTAAAGTGATATATCATATTTATTGATTTGTGTATGTTAAAAAATCCTTGCATACCAGGGATTATCCACTTGGTCTGAGGGAATGATTTTTCTGAATTCAATTAGCAAGTATTTTGTTGAGGATTTTTGCATCCATCCTCATCAGGGATATTGGTTTATCATTCTCTTTCTTTATTGTATGCTTTTCTGGCTTTGGAGTTAATGGTGGTGCTGGCCTCATAGAAGGAGTTTTGCTGGATTCCTTCCATTTCAATTGTTTTGAGAAGAAAAGTAGGGATTTTGAGAATTGGAATTTTAGTTTGAGAATTGGAATTATTTCTTTAAAAGTTTAGTAGAATTCAGCAGTGAAGCCATTGAGTCCAGGGTTTCCTTTGATGGGAGGTTCTTTATTACTGATTCAATCTCTACCTTGGTTATTGGTATATTTAGATTTTCTATGTTTTCAATTTTGGTAGGTAGTATGTGTCCAGAAAACTAATCATTTCTTCTAGATTTTCTAGTTGGTTGGCATGTAGTTGTTACTGATGATTGTTTTTATTTCTGTTGTATCTGTTGTAACATCTTTTTATCTCTGAATTTATTCATTTTTTTTTTTTTGCTTAGTTGGGCCACTGGGCTATCAATTTTGTTTATTTTTCAAAAACCCAGCTATTCATCTCATTGATGTTTTGGATCACTTTTTTGTTTCTATTTTGTTTATTCTCTAATTTTTAAAAATTATTTCCTCCTAATAATTTTTGGTTTGGTTTCTTCTCATTTTTCTAGATCCTTGAGATGTATTGTTAGATTATTCATTTGATGTGTATCCAATTTGCTATAGGCATTAACTGGTGTAAACCTTCCTCTTAACTATGTTTTTTCTGTATTCCATAAAGTTAATTTTTAAGAATTTTGTCATTTATAAATTATAAATTATATATTTCTTATATACTGTTTTAAGAGTATATTGAGGGCTGGCTCTCTGGCATAGTGGGTAAAGCTGCTGCCTGTATCGGCAGCATCCCATATGGGCGCCGATTTGAGTCCCCACTGCTCCACTTCCAATCCAGCTCTCTGTTATGGCCTGGGAAAGCAGTAGAAGATGGTCCAAGTCCTTGGTTCCCTGCACCTGCATTGGAGATCCAGAAGAAGCTCCTGGCTTTTGGCTTCGGATTGGCACAGCTCTAGCCCTTGCGGCCATCTGGGCAGTGAACCAGCAGGTAGAAGAACTCTCTCTCTCTCTCTCGCTCTCGCTCTCACTCTGCCTCTGTAACTCTGCTTTTCAAATTAATTAATTAATTAATTTAAAAAGTATACTGATACATTTTACCATATACTCTCCCAACCCCGCCTGCTTTCTCACTTCCACCCTTCCTCCTTTTCTTTTTTTTTTTTTAATTTTTTTAAAGACTCATTTATGCATTGGAGAGGCAGAGAAACAGAGAAGGAGGGACAGAGAGAAAGGTCCTCCATATACTGGTCTGCTCCCCAAACAGCCACAAAGGACAGAGCTGGGTCATTACAGAGTGAGGAGCTTCCTCCAGGTCTCCCATGAGGCTACAGGGGCCCAAGTACTTGGGCCATCTTCCACTGCCCTCCCAGGCCATAGAGAGCTGGATAGGAAGAGGAGCAGCCAGGGCATGAACCGGTGCCCATATGTGATGCAGGTGCCACAGGCAGAAGCCTAGCCCATCATGCCATAGCATTGGCCTCCTCTTTTTAATTTTTACAATGGCATATTTTCATTTTTCTTTATAAAATCAAGCTTATAAACCCTCCACTACATACAGAATTCAACAAGTAGTAAGTCAAAAAGACACTGTTCCTCAAGCATATAGACAAGGGCTATCAAAGACACTAAAATCTCCAAATGTCAATTTCACTCATACATTTAACATTTTTTGTACTCTGTGTATTAATTACCACAAATCATGGAAAACTGCCTTTTACAACAAAATGGATGCAACTGGAGCCCATTATGCTTAGTGAAATAAATCAGTCCCCCAAAGGCAAATGTCATGTGTTATCCCATAAATTTTGATATGTTGTATTGTCATTTTCATTCATTTCCAAGAATTTTTAAATTTCTCTTTTGATTTCTTCTGTGACCCACTGTTCATTTATGAGCATGTTGTTCAGACTCCATGTGCCTGCATTTTTTCTAAAGTTTCTTAAGTTGTTATTACCAGCTTAATTTTATTGTGGTCAGGAATGAACATGGATGATTTCAATTTTTTTAAAATTTGTTGAGACTTGCTTTATGGTCTAGCATGTGGTCTATCCTAGAGAAAGTGTCATGCACTGTATTCTGCAGCTGCCAGATGAAATGTTCTGTAGGTAACGATTAGGTCCATGTTTAGTCCATAGCGAAGATGAGTTCTGTGCTTGCAGCCCTGAATCTGAGAGGCCCTCTCAGTTCTTTTTAAAGGGACTCCAGGAATAAAACATAAGGTCCCTGGTCTGAGTCACGTACCTTGAATCACAGAACAGAAGAAGCCTGAGGTTTGTTAGGAAATAAGGTGAGATGCAAACTTTGAATGTGTAGTGGAGGTATATACACCCTCAGAAGAGAAGAGACCCCATAGCACCTGACCCCACAGGTAGTACAGGTAGTGCAGGCTGGTTTCATGCCCTCTGAAGAGCTTTGTCACATCCTTCCCTAGGTTCCGAGCAGACAGGCTGGACCAGAAGGACAGAATACCTGTGAGGTCCTAGGACATCAACTAAAGAGAACTGTAAGTTGACCTTTCCAGATCCTTCATGGGTGAATATATTAGGCAAGACCACTCACACTGTCCCTTTCTCTCACAGGCTGGTAGGATTCTGTCACCCACAATCCTGGTCATATTCTTGCCTGCTTCCTCCAGTAAGAGTCATCATGCCTCGCTTTGCAAAGTGCCCACGCCTCACCCTGGAGCAAGAGTTTCAGGATTCAGATGAAACACAGCAGCTGAGTGTTGAAGAGGTTTCCGCAGCTGAAGAGGAGGAGAATATTTCCACTATTTCCTCTTTTAGCTTCTCTAGCCTGTCCTCCTGCTCTTTGCCTTTAACTCTTTCTGCTTCCTCCTCCTCTTCTCTGATCCCTAGCACGCCAGAGACGGATGATAAACCTGCTTCTGGGCTGCTGAATCTTTCCCATTGTCCTCAGACCTTTTACTCCTCTTCCATTTCATGCAGTATATCAGAACAGCCCAGCAGCCTAGCTGAGGAGAGTTCAAGCATCTGGCAGGCCTCCCAAGACACTGATTTCTTGCCCAAAGACTCAGTAGAAGAAAAGGCGACCCAATTGATGAATTTCCTGATTCTGAAATATCGATTGAAGGAAGCTGTCACAAAAGCAGAAATGCTCGAGTTTGTCATTGAAGACTACCAGGACCAATTTCCTGGGATCTTTGAGAGAGCCTCTAAGTGCTTGGAGGTGATTTTTGGCATTGACATAAGGGAGGTAGACCCTCCTAGTGACTTTTATGTCCTTGTCAACTCACTAGGCCTCACGTCTTGTGAGATGTTGAGTGACGACTTTAATATGCCTAAAACCGGCCTTCTGATAGTTATCCTGGGTGTGATATTCATAGAGGATAACCGTGCCTCTGAGGATAGTATCTGGGAATTCTTAAGTATGTTGGGAGTGTATCCTGGGAGGGAGCACTTCATCTATGGGGAGCCCTGGAAACTCATCACCAATGATTGGGTGCAGGAAAATTACCTGCAGTACCAGCAGGTTCCCGATAGTGACCCCCCAAAATACGAGTTCCTGTGGGGACCAAGAGCCTATGTTGAAACTAGCAAAATGAAAGTTCTGGAATTTTTGGCAAAGGTCAATGAAAGTGATGTCATTTCCTTTACCTACTGGTATGATGAGGCTTTGAGAGACGAGCAGGAGAGATCCCAGGACAAGGAAGGCTGTGTGGATAGCACTACTGCATGTTCATTGCTCAGCACTGATCAGCAGTTTGTCCTATCCCAGGTGAATAGTGAGGCAGATCCTTCACCCAGTCTTTGGAGAGAGTGGTTGGAAGAGAGCTGTCAAGTTTCTAAATAGGTGGCAGTCAGGTTTAAGCAGGAGAGTGCATATTATATGATAACTTTGTGTTCCTGTTTTATAGGGATGATCTGATGGTTTGTATGTTTTTCTTGACATTTTTCACCTATTGTTCCTGTTAGTAGAAGATAATGTATACCAAAACCCAGTTAGATGGAATAATGGGTTCCAGTGTTATAAGCACAGTGGGATGACTATTGTCCACAATAATGTGTTGCATACTGTGAAAAGAACTGCTATAGAGGAACACCTAGACTCCAAACAAAGAAAAACTATGAAAATGGCAACTGCCTGTTTTGTTCATTTATGCTGTGTATGGAAATATTGAACTGTGTCCCTATAAAAATGTACAAGTATTTCATGTTAATTAAATATAATAAAGACTGAAATAAACTTATTGCCTTAGAATCTGTGTTTATGAATGACATGTACACAGTTGATATTTAGCAGGTGTGGAGAAATTATGGAGAAAAATACATGACTAGTTTTTTTTTTTTTTACTTTTATTTAATGAATATAAATTTCCAAAGTACAGCTTTTGGATTACAATGGCTTTTTCCCCCCCATAAATTCCCTCCCAGGCACAACCCTCCCCTTTCCCACTCCCTCTCCCCATTCATTCACATCAAGATTCATTTTCAATTCTCTTTATATACAGAAGATCAGTTTAGTATATATTAAGTGAAGATTTCAACAGTTTGCACCCACACAGAAACACAAAGTGAAAAATACTGTTTGAGTACTACTTATAGCATTAATTCACAATGTACAGCACATTATAGACAGAGATCCTACATGAGGAGTAAGTACACAGTGACTCCTGTTGTTGACTTAACACATTGACACTCTTGTTTATGGCATCAGTAATCACCCTATGCTCTTGTCATGAGTCGCCAAGGCTATGAAGCCTTTTGAGTTCACTGACTTCGATCTTATTTAGACAAGGTCATAGTCAAAGTGGAAGTTCTCTCCTCCCTTCAGAGAACGGTACCTCCTTCTTTGATGGCCTGTTCTTTCCACTGAGATCTCACTCGCGGAGATCTTTCATTTAGGTTTGATGTCTGACTCTATATTTTTTTCGCCAGAGTGTCTTGGCTTTCCATGCCTGAAATACTCACATGGACTTTACATCAGAACCTGAATGCCTTAAGGGCTGATTCTGAGGCCAGAGTGCTGTTTGGGACATCTGCCATTCTATGAGTCTGCTGTGTATCCTGCATCCCATGTTGGATCATTCTCTCACTTTTTTTATTCTATTGGTTAGTATTTTCAGACACTAGTCTTGTTTATGTGATCCCTTTGACTCTTAGTCCTATCATTATGATCAATTGTGAACAGAAATTGATCACTTGGACTAGTGAGATGGCATTGGTACATGCCACCTTCATGGGATTGAATTGGAATCCCCTGGTATGTTTCTAACTCTACCATTTAGGGCAAGTCCAATTGAGCGTGTCTGAAATTGTACATCTCTTCCCTCTCTTATTCCCACTCTTATGTTTAACAGGGATCACTTTTCATGTTAAGTTTCAACACTTAAGAGTAACTGTGTATTAATTACAGAATTCAGCCAAAATTATTAGCTAGAACAAAAAAATACTAAGAGGGATAACGTATTAAGTTGTTCATCAACAGTCAGGGCCAGGGCTGATCAAGTCACCGTTTCTCATAGTGTACATATCACTTTAACAGGTTTCCTTTTTGGTGTTTGATTAGTTGTCACCAATCATGAAGAACATATGATATTTGTCCCTCTGGGAATGGCTTATTTCACTCAGCATGATGTTTTCTAGATTCCTCCATTTTGTTGCAAATATCTGATTTCATTGTTTTGGACTGCTGTATAGTATTCTATAGAGTACATATCCCATAATTTCTTTATCCAGTCTACCGTTGATGAGCATTTAGGTTGATTCCAGGTCTTCGCTATTGTGAATTGAGCTGCAATAAACATTAATGTGCAGACAGCTTTTTTGTTTGCCAATTTAATTTCCTTTGCATAAATTCCAAGGAGTGGGATGGCTGGGTTGTATGGTAGGGTTATATTCAGTTTTCTGAGGAATCTCCAGACTGATTTCCATAGTGGCTTAACCATTTTGCATTCCCACCAGCAGTGGGTTAGTGTCCCTTTTTCCCCACATCCTCGCCAGCTTCTGTTGTTGGTAGATTTCTGTATGTGAGCCATTCTAACTGTGGGGAAATGAAACCTCATTGTTTTTTTGATTCGCATTTACCTTATTGAAAATGATCTTGAACTTTTTTTCATGTGTCTGTTGGCCATTTGGATTTCCTCTTTTGAAAAATATCTATTGAGGTCCTTGGCCCATCTCTTAAGGTGGTTGATTGTTTTGTTGTTGTGGAGTTGCTTGATTTCTTTGTAGATTCTGGTTATCAACCCTTTATGTGTTGCATAGTTTGCTAATATTTTTTCCCATTCTGTCAGTTGCCTCTTCACTTTCCTGACTGTTTCTTTTGCAGTACAGAAACTTCTCAATTTTATGTAATCCCATTTGTTAATTTTGGCTTTGACTGCTTGTGTCTCTGAGGTATTTCCCAAGAAACGGTGCCAATATCTTGCAGCGTTTCTCCAATGTTCTCTAATAGTTTGATGGTGTCAGGTTGTAGATTTAGGTCTTTATTCCATGTTGAGTGGATTTTTGTGTAAGGTGTAAGGTAGGGGTCTTGCTTCATGCTTTTGCACGTGGAAATCCAGTTTTCCCAGCACCATTTATTGAATAGACTGTCCTTGCTCCAGGAATTGGTTTTAGATCCTTGATTATATATAAATTGGCTGTAGATGTTTTTTTTCTGGTGTTTCTATTCTGTTCCATTGGTCTATCCATCTGTTTCTGTACCAGTACCATGCTGTTTTGATTACAACTGCTCTGTAGTATGTCCTGAAATCTGGTATTGTGATGCCTCCAGCTTTGTGTTTTTTTTTTTTTTTGTACAAAATTGCTTTAGCTATTTAGCTATTCGAGGTCTCCTGTGTCTCCATATGAATTTCTGCATCATTTTTTCTAGATCTGAGAAGAAGGTCTTTGGTATCTTGATTGGTATCGCATTGAATCTATAAATTGCTTTTGGGAGAATGGACATTTTGATGATGTTGATTCTTCCAATCCATGAGCATGGAAAATTTTTCCAGTTTTTGGTATCCCCTTCTATTTCTTTCTCTAAGATTTTTTAATTTTCGTCATAGAGATCTTTAACGTCCTTGGTTAAGTTTATTCCAAGATATTTGATTTTTTTGTAGCCACTCATCCAGCCCTGAAAACATAGAAACACGACCATCAATATGAAAGAAGATAAAGGAAGAAAACCTGCCAGTAAAAGTGCAGAAGGAGCTCAAATCATATACTAGAAAATATTTCTGGGAAAACGGCAGGGCAAAGTTACTACTTATCAGTAGTCACATTGAACATTAATGGACTCAACTCTCCAGTTAAAAGTCACAGCCTGGCTGAATGGATTAAGGAATAAAACCCATCTATTTGCTTCTACAAGAAACACATCTTTCCAACAAAGATGCATGCAAACTGAAAGTGAAAGGTTGGAAAAAGATACTCCATGCCAACAGAAACAAAAAAAAACAGGTGTAGCCATATTAATATTAGACGAAATAAACTTTAACACAAAAACTGTTAAGAGAGACAATGAGGGGCACTATATAATTATTAAGGGTTCAATTCATCAGGAAGATATAACTATTATAAATGTGTATGCACCTAATTACAGGGCGTCAGTTTATTTAAAAGATATGTTAAGGGACTTAAAGGGAGACTTAGATTCCTATACAATAGTACTGGGGGACTTCAATACTCCACTCTCAGAAATGGACAGAAGAACTGGATGGAAGATCAACAAGAAAACAGCAGATTGAATCGACACTATTGCCCAAATGGATCTAACAGCTATCTACAGAACTTTCAATCCTACATTTAATATTTTACATTCTTCTCAGCAGTACATGGAACCTTCTCTAGGATTGACCACATACTAGGCCATAAAGAAAGTCTGAGCAAATTCAAAAGAATTAGAATCATACTATGCAGCTTCTCAGACCAAAGGGAAATGAAGTTGGAAATTAGCAACTCAGGAATCCCTAGAACATATGCAATCACATGGAGATTGAACAACATGCTCCTGAATGAACACTGGGTTATGTAAGAATCAAAAGAGAAATCAAAAACTTTCTGGAAGTAAATGAGGATAACAGCACAACATATCAAACTTATGGGATACGGCAAAAGCAGTGTTGAGAGGAAAGTTTATATCAATAGGTGCCTATATCAAGAAATTGGAAAGGCACCAAATAGATGAGCTTTCAGTGCATATCAACGATCTAGAAAAACTGCAGCAAACCAGACCCAAATCTAGTAAAGAGAAATAATTAAAATCAGAGAAGAATTCAGCAGGATTGAATAAAAAATTACAAAAACTCAGCCAAGCAAAAAGCTGTTTTTTTGAACAAATAAATAAAATTGACACCCCATTGGCCCAACTAACTAAAAAAAGAAAAGACCCAAATCAATAAAATCAGAGATGAAAATGGGAATGTAACAACAGACACCACAGAAATAAAAAGAATCATCAGAAATTACTATAAGGACTTTTTTGCCAGCAAACAGGGAAATCTATCAGAAATGGATAGATTCCTGGACACATGCAATCTACCTAAATTGAACCAGGAAGACATAGAAAACTGAAACAGACCCATAACTGAGACAGAAATTGAAACAGTAATAAAGGCCCTCCCAACAAAGAAAAGCCCAGGACCAGATGGATTCACTGCTGAATTCTACCACACATTTAAAGAAGAACTAACTCCAATTTTTCTCAAACTATTCAGAACAATCAAAAAATAGGGAATCCTCCCAAATTCTTTCTATGAAGCCAGGATCACCTTAATTCCTAAGCCAGAAAAAGATGCAGCATTTAAAGAGAATTACAGACCAATATCCCTGATGAACATAGATGCAAAAATCCTCAATAAAATTCTCGCCAATAGAATGCAACAACATATCAGAAAAATCATCCACCCAGACCAAGTGGGGCTTATCCCTGGTATGCAGGGATGGTTCAATGTGCGCCAATCAATGAATGAGATACACCACTTTAACAAAATGCAGAAGAAAAACCATATGATTATCTCAACAGATGCAGAGAAAGCATTTGATAAAATACAACACCCTTTCATGATGAAAACTCTAAGCAAATTGGATATAGAAGGAACATTCCTCAATACAATCAAAACAATTTATGAAAAACCCACGGCCAACATCCTATTGAATGGGGAAAAGTTGGAAGCATTTCCACTGAGATCTGGTACCAGACA